CCCTAGGTTTTTTGTAACGTTCACAAGGCCATATATAGGCCTTGTTAATAGCCTTGTCCAGCTGTTTTTTCCATATCAGTCCCTTGTCTAATGTTATTCCGAGGTACTTGACTTCACTGGATAACCAGATCGCTTGACTGAAGAGGATTGGTACCTTAAGCCCCTTGATATTCCTCCTCCTAGTAAAGGGTATAATTACCGTCTTGTTTGGATTGATAGACAAGTTTGTTCTTTCGCACCACTGTTGTTGTGTGTGTAGGGCTGTTTGTAAGACCTCTGACACAGTATAAGGGAATTTCCCATTTATTAGGATTGCTATATTGTCAGCCTATCCTACTGTGAAATGACCTTTACTGTTGAGCTCCCAAAGAAGATCATCCACTACCAGGCTCCACAGCAGAGGGGAGAGAATACCTCCCTGCAGACACCTTCTCGCTGCAGACTCTCTCAGGATCTCTCCAGGCGATGTAGCACTTATATTCCTGCTTTTCAGCATAGCACAGATCCATCTGCATATTGCAGGCTCAGTGCCATGCCTTTCAGCGGCCTGTTTTATTGTGTCAAAAGAGGTTCTGTCTGAGGCTCCCTCTGTGTCAAGGAATGCTCCAAGGGCTATATCCTTGTGTTCACTGGCATTTTCTCTGTTTGTAACCACACCATGAAGTGTGATTTCAGTAGATTTACCTATTTGGTAAGCATGTTGGTTTCGGTGAAGAGAATGAATCTTCAATGCACCGTCCCTAATGTAATGTACTTTCTCCATCGTTTTCAAAAAAGAAAGACGACAGGCTGATAGGACGATAAGCCTTAGCCTCGGTATAATCAAGTTTCCTGGTCTTCTGTATAAATGTCACTTTGACTTGCCTCCAGGCCATAAGGATAAACCCATGCACCATGCAGGCTCTGAATATGCAGCATAGGTGTGGGACTAAATGTTCCATTCCTTGCTGCAGAAGTTCTGGAAAGATTTCATCTGTTCCCGCAGACTTAAATGGTTTGAATGTACCTAACACCCATCTACTTTTTGATTGATTGATTGATTACCTGACCAGCCAGGCCCCAGTCTCACCTGTTCGTTATGTGTCTACATATGCCAAAGTTCTGCTGGACCCACCCGTCTTCTGAATCGTCAGTCAGCTGTGAATCAGGGAAGTGAACTCTGAACAGTTCTTTCAGTGTCCCTTTCCCAGTTTGGGTACACATACCATCAGGCAGCTTGATAGTACTGCCCTTGTTGGTCACATGTTTTGCCATGACCCTCATGATTCTGGCACTGTCTGGTTCATCGCTGATCTCCTGGCAGTGCCTCCTCCATGACGATCACTTGGCTTTCCTTATTTCTTTATTATAACATTTGTGGGCTTCCTTGTAGGTGTCCCACAGCCCTGTTCTTTTTGCTATAGTAAATAGCTTTCTTGTTCTAGCTCTTAGCCCACCCAGCTTGTTATTCCACCAAGGTGCATTCCTTGGTAGGTGAGTGGTCTTGGCTGGACAATTATGATAATAGGACAAGATGATGGCATGTTGCAGCTGGTCAACAGATCGATCTATGTCCCTTATTGTGCATATATTTTGCGAAATAATCGCCAGATTCACCTTTAGGTTGTCCTTGTACAACTCCCAATTGGTTCTCCTAGGATTCCTAAAGGTAACTTGTTTTGTTGTTATGCTGCCTATTAGAAAGCATAGGTCTCTGTGGTCCAATAAAGATGGCTCGCCGGATACATGCCAATTACTTACCAGGTTTTCTATTTTATCTGTTCCTAGTGTCAAGTCAATAACCTCCTTCCTATTGCGGACCACAAAGGTAGGTTCATTATGATTTAGAATATTCAGGTTTGAGCTCACCAGAAATTCCATAAGGCTTCTCCCCTTGGATTGGTGTCACTGCTCCCCCACATGATGTGGTGTGCGTTGGCATCACCCCCAATGATGAGTTGCTTTTTCCTGCTCTAGTAGTAGTCTGTCATGTCCCTCATTTCCTTAGTTGGTGGTGGTTCATCTGAGTCATATGAAAGGTAGACTGAAGCAACAAGCAGCTCAATTCAACCATCTCAATACGTGTATGTTATCCTCACCACCGTTGCATCCCTAGAACAGAGCTCCAGCAAAGGTAAGGCATTAATATGATTCCTGATATAAACACAGGATCTTGCATTCTTGCCAGGTGCAGTAGATTAAATTCTTGTCCCTGTGTTTGTTAAACCTCTTATTTGACCCTTGTATAATCAAGGTTCCTGAATAAGTACTACGTCTGTCTTTCCCTCAGCTAGCTGCTGGCACAAAGTTGCTGTGGCTGCTTTGCTGTGGTGTAAATTAATTTGAAGGAATGTCATGTTATGTATTGTGTATGTGTATGTGTTTGCTGTTCCTTCTTAGTCTCAGACTGGGTTCCATTTGAGGGGCTCCCCTGATCTGCTCTGCTTTGGTCTGAAGGAGTGGGTACATCATCCCCCTCCCCCTCAGAGCCTGATTTTGAAGATGCTGTGACTATCACAGTTTCTCTTTGGTGCTGAGCCTCAGGGTCTTTCAGCACCTTAACAGTCCCCTGTGAGAGCCCTGTGAATATCTTATATCCAGTCCTCTGTATAATGGTATACAAGTCCTGATCCATAAGTAGGATAAGCCGCTGGCCTTTCAGCTCAGATTGCTTATCAAATTATCTCCAGTGCTCAGTATGGAGTCCAGGATTAAGATGTGCAGTCCAATTCAGTAGCTCTTCCTGATTCTGGGCAACTTTGTACCTAATCCTGAGAGCCACCTTAACAGGCTTGGGTAGGTTCCTGGCATCAGTAGCCTTCAGCCTGTAATCGTCGATGGCTTTGATAAGCCACTGACCAGAGTGTTGAACGGCACATATATAAATAAGTGCACCTCCCTCCAGTCTGTAGGACTTCAGGTGTGGTAGTTCTCCTAATGGAGTCCTATGTAACACCCCTCCCAGTACATCCAGAATGGAGTTCTGGTAATCTTCTGTTAGCTTATCTTCAGGATATGTTTCCCTGAAGATAGCTACCTTTATGTTGGTCACAGCCTCCTTGTAGGTCCCTGGTCCCTTAGTGTCCCTGGGCCTTTTTGGAGCGCTGACCATTTCTGTGGGGTACTGCCCTCTGACCTTGGCCTCTTAAAGGTTCCGGTAGGCGTTTCTCCCTACTTGGGCGAGCATGCATTTCCTGGTTGCTGAATGCCCCTAGTTCCTGCTTTGCTTGCCCTAGTTCTTTCCTTTTTAAGTTTCCGTCTGGCGGATCCGGACAGTGCATTTTTCGCCAGACAGAGTCCAATTACTCCAGAGACTAGGTGTCCCAGACTATCTCCTACTGTAGGTATGCTAGAAGTACTAGCTCCCTGCAGTGGTATATCAGAACTACTGACTCCCAAGGGAGTGGTTTCTGGTTTTGCCTTGGGCAGGTTTCGAACCACTGGTTCGTCCCTGTCTTTGGCTGAAATTTCAACAGCGGGTTCGCTGCTTGCAACCAGGCACCTTAACAGTGTACCAGAGCTTCCTGCCCCCTGCTGAAGTATTTCTCATAGGGATCCCCTTGGAGGGGAGCCCCTCTTCTGTTTAAGGTCCTTATGACTTCTTTTTATTTTGGTACCTTTCATTTTGGTCCCACGAGTTATGGGGATATGGGTCACCACCTGCAGTGTCCCATATGGGTGGAAGGCATGAATACAACGGGGTGCTGCCTGGTGCCCCGAGGGGACCGTTCATGACACCGACTAATAACCACCCCAGTGCCATGCAGCCCTCAGCATGATGCCTTATACCTTAGCTTAGGTGGTTCGGTCCTGTTAAAGATAAACCCTCACAAGCCTCCAGGACCAAGAGTGCTCGATTGGGAGAAGGGGGGGTATCTCAGATGATCAATGGGAGTGCGACACTGGCAAATCATGAGATTGCAACCAGGGAAACCTGCATGGTTGGTCAGACCGTTTTAGAGCGTTGAGCCCAAAGGCTTGCGGCACCTTATCTGTACTCTAGACCCAAGAGTCATTATGCTGCCACATGGGAGGCTCCAGTTGTAATGCCATTGCCCTTTATGGGAACTTAGCCACCAGTCCCAGTTAATCATACTAGTCCAGACCCCGAGACTGTCGTTGCCCAGCGGGACCACGAGGAGGTGTCCCAAGGGTGTGTCCCGATGAATCCCTGGTCCATGATGCATCCCCACCAAAGACAGCCTTGGTTCGACCAACCTCATAGAGGATGGCATCATTACTACCTGTAACATGTGACCTAAGAAAGTCACAGTTAGTCCCGCTGGTGTTATAGTTACTTGTAGTTATGACATGTAAATGGTCAATGAATCCAATCTCAAATCCAAAACCCTGTCTGTAGTCACATCATGCATGTGATAGGATGTAAGAATATACACTTATAGATGTTATATTTTAGTGTCCTGTTACACTGATTCGTGTCCATGGTTTATGCTAATTGTCTTACAGTGTATACACTTTTTAACCTTATTCTTCACTTCCACACTACATGTTTCAGCACTATTGTGCCATCCTCAGGTGTCTTTATGCACACACACACATATCCAGCAGTACAACACATGCAGTAACAGGAGCAAAACACAACACAGAACACGATACACAAATGTATGTAGGAGGAATGCTCACATAAAAGAGGATTGGTGTAATTCGCGTGTTTGAGTGCGATGTAGGATGAATCCTGAAAAGTTTTATTATTTAGAATTCATCAACATATATGACGAATACAGATTTTAGTCATTTTAGAATGAAGACATCATGGCATGCAGTACAATAGTTTAACGTGCATAAAGACACCTGAGGATGGCACATTAGTGCTGAAACATGTAGTGTGGAAGTGAAGAATAAGGTGAAAAAGTGTATACACTGTAAGAGGGTTAGCATAAACCATGGACACTTATAGATTATTTTTGTCATATAAATATAGTTACAAATGTAGAAGAACTTAAGAAGTTTACAAATAGATACATGATTACATTCTGTTAATAGTGATGTGATCATTGCAGCTGTTGGACAGAATGTTGGGCTGTTGAGAAGGTGTGAAAGCAAAAAGCATGAGACATCTTTTGGCCAGTTCATTTTATTTACTGTGTTAGAAATCCTACAGAGACTTACTGAATACTGAATATGATTGACTTAATGGACCAGCATATAAGGGCCCCCATACACTCTCAGTTCCATCTGCAGTTTAAACTGCACAGTTGGATCGTACGTGTAATGGGAAATCCCAACGACTGTGCAGTCAGAACTGTTGACCTGTGGATCTTTTGGAATGGCAAAAGATTTAACTGCGCAGTTCAACTGTGGTGTCCTGTGTGTGTCGATTTCTGAAGGCCAAAGCACAGTTCTCCAGACAGCTGTGAGTTATCCACTCATCTGTTACAGTGTCGATCTAGAATCATGGTTACATGGTCAAAAGATTTTCTCATTGGATTTATTTAACTTTTCAAAACAGAGGAATGTTTATGGAAGATTATATCAAAGGACTATCACAATAGAAGCAAGAGGGATATGAACTGTGGAATTCTGGTTTCAAAAGTGTAAAACGTGGAGCCTAATGTGACACGAGACACTATTGTCAAAAAGATAAACAATTTACATTGCACATTTAGAAAGGAGCAGAAGAAGGTGAAGAAATCCAAAGTGTCAGGTGCTAGTGCTGATGACTTGTGGTATTACAACCACCTCCTTTTTTTGACTGATCAGGAAATGCCACACAGTTTGACCTCCAGTATGCAAGGAGAGGAAAGCGAGGTAAGTGATATTAAGTATATTAAGAGGTTATACAATATGAACAGTTTTTATTGAAGATGAGGACTGTACCCCTCTCCTCTCCCTCCCACCATCATAACCATCCATCCAATAGTCCAAATGCAGTTATTACATCAATTGGCAATGAAGCACAAGCCATAGTTATAAGTGATGTGTGCACAATGTATTACACAGATCGTAGTAAATTATTATTTACTCTTTTGTTCATTGTGCTTGGAACTTCACAGAAATAAGTATCTTACATATACGCTTGTTGCCATGGCACTTGTCCTGTACCGTTAAAATATTCAAAAAATGGTTGCCTTGTTTGTTTTCCGGTTAATTGTTGGTTTCCGTGATTTCCCTGTTGAAGCGGACACATGAATGATGGGTCAGCTCGCAGCCCTACGGTAACAGTGCAAGTTTCTGGGTCCTCCATGCCAAAACATTCTGGTGGCATATACGTTTCAGGGGATGTTCTGCGTAGAAAATTGTGCAGTGCACAGCTAGCCATTACTATATCTTGAATGTTGTCAAGTTCAACGTTTATGTTGGTTTTAAATACACCAAATCTTCCCACCAAAATACCGAAGACATTTTCTATGATTCTGCGAGCACGTGAGAGTCTGTAGTTGAATATTCGCCTTTCTTTTGTAAGTTGTTTTAAACTGAAAGGTTTCAGGAAATCTTTTCTCAAGGTAAATGCTTCATCTCCAACGAAGACGTATGGTAGCTTTNGCCACACAGTTTGACCTCCAGTATGCAAGGAGAGGAAAGCGAGGTAAGTGATATTAAGTATATTAAGAGGTTATACAATATGAACAGTTTTTATTGAAGATGAGGACTGTACCCCTCTCCTCTCCCTCCCACCATCATAACCATCCATCCAATAGTCCAAATGCAGTTATTACATCAAGTGGCAATGAAGCACAAGCCATAGTTATAAGTGATGTGTGCACAGTGTATTACACAGATCATAGTAAATTATTATTTATTCTTTTGTTCATTGTGCTTGGAACTTCACAGAAATAAGTATCTTTCATATACGCTTGTTGCCATGGCACTTGTCCTGTACTGTTAAAATATTCAAGAAATAGTTGCCTTGTTTGTTTTCCGGTTAATTGTTGGTTTCCACGATTTCCCTGTTGAAGCGGACACATGAATGATGGGTCAGCTCGCAGCCCTACGGTAACAGTGCAAGTTTCTGGGTCCTCCATGCCAAAACATTCTGGTGGCATATACGTTTCAGGGGATGTTCTGCGTAGAAAATTGTGCAGTGCACAGCTAGCCATTACTATATCTCGAATGTTGCCAAGTTCAACGTTTATGTTGGTTTTAAATACACCAAATCTTGCCACCAAAATACCGAAGACATTTTCTATGATTCTGTGAGCACGTGAGAGTCTGTAGTTGAATATTCGCCTTTCTTTTGTAAGTTGTTTTAAACTGAAAGGTTTCAGGAAATCTTTTCTCAAGGTAAATGCTTCATCTCCAACAAAGACGTATGGTAGCTTTGTTCCATTAACATTGGATGATTCTGGTATTTTCAAAGAATCGCTTTTCAACTTTTCGTAGAAATCAGTGTACTCTAAAACACCACCATCAGATACACGGCCATTTGTTCCAAAATTAAAATAAATAAATTAATTCATAATTTGAGTCTGCGACCCCTGTAACAACCTGGCTATGGAATCCTTTGTAATTGAAGAAGAAGGAACCGGCACCTGGAGGTGGTGTTATCGAGATATGCTTGCCATCCACTGCACCGAGGCAATTGGTAAAATTCGATTTTCCTGAAAAACCTTTGGCATTTTCCTTGCAGTCCTTTTCGCAGGAGAGAAACTGAAAAAATTAAAAACGTTATACTACATATAGAAACTTTCCCATTCAAAATAAATATACTACATTCCTGATCACTAATATTCAGTATTAATTTTTTATTTTGTATTTTTAGGCAGCTGATTTCACTGAGGACTCAAACGTGACTACTCCTGACAGGGAATTAGATGTTTCTTTGAATTCACCCAGTCGGTCAACCTCAGACTGTACTCCAGGCAGCGATACAACAGCCCCATATTTGCCAGACACACAAAGAATCTTTAAAAGGGCTAAGAAACCATCTCCATCCGACAGTCTGTTGTCTCTTGTTAGTGACAAATTACAGGAGGTGAGGCATGAGGACCAGTTCGACATTGCAGGCAAAAATGTTGCTGCCAAATTGAGAATATTGTCGAAAGAGCAGAGAATAATAGCAGGGAAATTAATCAACGACATACTCTTCCATGCTGAGATGGAAGCATTAACCACGAACTCGAAAATGATTGTTAATGAGCAGCTAAGTGTTTCCGTCCCAGTAGGAGGTTCACAATACTGTACTCCACCTGTGGTGGGGATGCAGCACTTACGACTTTTTTCACTAATTTCCACCAATATATTTGTAACAACATCCGTTACGAAAATGCAATTATAATATATGACTTTTTAAGAAATAAATTTGCTCTTCAATATAAGTGATGAATTGAATTTATGCTTACCTTGCAGTAGTCCTTCAGTACTTTGTAAATAGCACGGCAAGTCTCTGGTATAATTTTTCCCAATGCTTGTGGAGAGATATAGTTGTGAATTTCATATTCTCATAACTCCTTCCTGTGGCCAAAAATCTTAAAGTAGCCATGAGTCTCTCGTGAGGCGTTATGGCTTGCCGCATCCTGGGATCTTTTCTCTTAATCAGTGGACAAACCATCGACAGCAAAGCACGGTAGGTACATTCATTCATTCTGAGGTAGTTATGCCAATCTTTCGGATGAAATCTGAATTCTTGTAACAAATTAACATGAGAAAAATGGTCTTGATTCAATAACCAACTTTTTGTTCACTTCCTGCACTTTCTCTTTTCAGATTTCGTTTTTGCTAGGATAATTGCGATGACTGCATAACAAAATAGTTCAATTGGAGGCATTAAAAAAGATGATGGACTGCCATGAACCAAAGCGAACTTCTGATGTAACTGTGTAGTGTGTGGTAAAATGTCTCTCAGTTTAAACTGAGCACATTTGGCACAGTTTTGACTGCGCAGTTACAACTGCAGATGGAACTGAGTGTGTATGGGGGCCTTAACCCAGTGCATAGGTAGTGACCATTTCCAGTACACCATGCAGACGATAATGGAATTTTGAATCAAGGGAATTAGTAAGTCAGAAAAGCAAGCCTGTACATACTTTGTGTAAATGTAGGAGCCACCTCAAAAAGCTGGGAGCTATTCATTCATCACTAATCTGTCAGACGACAGGTCCACAGTTTCTTGCAAAACAGTTTCTCCACTTAATGCAATCTCAAGCTTTCTCCTTCAATCAAATTATCCTCTTCTGTCCCCAAGGTCATCCAGCATCTTACGTCTTCTTCCTCGTCTTCTGGGCACTTCTATCTGCCCCTCCGGTTTGATTTGTCTCCAGAGGAAACATCTCGCATACGTGGTATCGCTGTATTTGGAAAGAGACTATGCAGGAAAACTGACAGTGTGGTAGTTTTTCCATTTGCTTTCCACATCACAGTACAACAGCCGTTCAAGCCACTCTCGTCATGCCTGTTGCTATACGAACTTGAACCATCTCGAGCATCATTTGCTCTGTGCTTCAAGTTGCTGCTGATGACACTGCTTCCGGCATCAGTTTTTGGTTTTTGGTGTCTCTCTTCGTCTGATGCCTACCCTTTGACCTGTCCAGCTAGGGAGGCCCTGCCAGTAGCTACGCTACTGCTGGTATAGCTCTCAGGGTCCTTGGCATACACAAACCCCCTCACCATGATAAGGTGGAGACACCAACGAGGGGGCTAGGAGCTATAATGAAATAAAATATATTGCGTGAGAAAGTACATCTTATTAATGAAAGGATAAATTATAGCTCTTTCCTGTCATGCTCAGGAAAAACCCAATTTGCTCTTGGTAGGTTATGGGGATAACAAAGTGTGATCTTCCATTCTTAGGACATGGGGAGAGGGCATACAGGAATGGAAGAATGGGGATGAGGGAACTGTTTTAATGTGAATGAGAGAAGAGAGGAATGATGATAGGATGAGCAAGTGTAATGGATGGGAAAGCAGTAAGGGAAAAAAGAGATAAAGATGTGAAAGGTTGGAAGAAAGAAGGAAGCTATTTTTCCCCTTAACTTGACAGGTCACACATTAGTAGTAAGACAGAAGGAAACTGTGAACACCATGGCATACTGCTGGCCAGATTTTGCACAGGCCGTACAAATAGATATGCAACTGTGATGAGGATTTTGCTGTCATGGTTCTTTGGAAATGCTAAAAAGTGTCAAATTGCATGAATATTTAGCAGTGCTATCTTTTTCAGTTTCCAGATGCTCCTCGACCTTACGTAAATCAAGACCAAAGGAGATGCATTGGAAGCATAAGGGAGCAACTAAAGTTATCATGGCTGACTTCTCTAATAGGGTGTGTTCTGTTTGCAGCTGGAATGAGGCTGCTTTTCTGGAATGAGGTCAGAATTCTGTTAATGTAAATTTGTCATATAAAACTTCACAGAGTGAGGATATTAACATTAAGAGAATGGGAATAATTTTCATATGTTGACTGATGTTTAGGGACAGGTGGTGCAAACTGCCCGCTTACTGGAGGAAGCACTGAATACTATTATTCCGGTTCAGTATACATCTGTTGTGATGGCAGAAAACAATGGGAAATTGGTGCATTTTAGTGGAGCTTTACATGTGGGAGAGCTGCTTACAGAGCCGGAATATGGAGTGGCTGTTCCTGCAGCGAAGTTGAAACGCCGTGTCCAGATGTATCAGTGGGTAGAAGAGGAGCAAAACAGGTAAATACAGCAGCAGGTGTATGTACAGAGAGTCATACTATGCAGCATAAGTGATAAACATTTATTATTTGAATGCCTGAAGTCAAAATTGTAGGCACTAGTCCAAAGGACAGTGTAGCAGCTTTGTTGTCAGTCCCCAGAGCTAGTGTAAGGACTTTGTAATATTTACTTGTTCATTTGTTTGAAAATAAACAAGTTACCAGGCTGCAGTGTAAAGTTAAATGATTAATTTGGTGTGAATTATAGGATGTTAGGTTTAATGCAATGGAAGCATGGAAAGAGCAATTTTTTGATATCTGAACAACAGTACATAAGCACACCTTTTTGATACCGTACTGTGTTCAGGACCCTAGTTCAGGACTGTCAGGAAGTACCAGTGATGGTCATGAATGTTACCCACAGGGACCAAAAGCTCAGGAGAGGATCTCTTCTGGCGCACTGTGAGACAGTAACACTTGTGACTTTGCCCAATATGGGGCAGGCACCAACACCAGGCCTAAAACCCGAAATGGACGGAGAGACGATGGCCTGCCAAGAGATGGCAGCATGTCCAGAAGAAGAAGAGCCGACCTCACTGGACAGGAAACCTGAGGCAGCAGAACAACAAGAGGTCCCCGTAGAAGATGCCACAGTGATGCCAGTCAGAGAACCGAAGAAGAAACGGTGTAGGGACTGAAAACTGGCCGTAGAGCGTCACCGCCAGCTGAATGAATGGACCTAGTGTCAGGATTGGTTCCAAAGAAAAGGACTGACCATCGCCAGAAGAGGGACGAGCCACCATGCAACAGTAGCACAGCAAAAGCAGAAGAGAAGCAACACAAGGATGTCCTGTTGTGCAACAGTGGCAAGACGCAAGAGAGAGAGAGCGTGAAGAAGAACCTTACTCAGGGAACTGGTGGACCCGGGAGGAAGCGATTGGTCGCGGCTGACAAGAATATTACCCACTGTGCAAATGTGACACAGCGCAAGAGACTTAGACTTCAGGGAGATCAGATGGAATCACACACAAACCCACATAAGAATGTGCCAAGAACTTGAACGTGAGAGGATTACACAAGGACTCGTCGTGAAAGGAAAAGAAGTAGAACGACTCGAGATTGAGAGAGACACACAATAACGAGTTTGAGAAAGCAATTCGAGGCATGTGCAAGTGCACAAGCAGACGTGCTGCACAGAATCCCAGCTGATACGAACATCAAAAACTGGACACTTTGGAGGGGTTGACCTCCTCTGAAACGGAAAAGGACACAACAGATTGAAGAGGAGCCAGTAACATAGAAACACCGGCCTCCCCGGCATGAATGGAGAATGAAAGATAATGAGTACATGAGGTGTGAATGCGAAACAATGGATCGAAGAACGCTGGACCATGGAACCGCTCGAGACGAGCTGGTCTTAAGAACGGAGTGGAGGCTGTAACGGCTGGAGAATAGTCACTGCAAGAGGAGTAGCCGAAACAACAGGAGACACAGCAAGCATAGCAACGGGAAGAAAAAGAACGGGGATGCACCATTAGGCTATTCGGGATGAACAGCCTTAAGGAGGGAGCAGTGTGATGTATTTGCACTATGCAGGACACCCCCTCCCCCGCCAGCGGTGACCTAACAGCGCTGCCTTTGCTACGGCAACAGGCCAGTCAATTCTACGCCCCCCTCCCCTGTGGTGACATAACAGCACTTCCCAATGTGATGTAACATGGACCACCGCTGTAACATGAGGCAACGGAATGGTATAAAAAGCCGGCTGAGCAGTATGTGAAGAGAGTGTGTGTGATCAGAAGTGACACAGTGTGGATCGTGAAGTCGCTGAGTGCAGCAGAAGTCTTATCAGTCGCCGAGTTCAGTTGTAGCAAGTGAATCGTGAACATGAAGAATACCGATAGTGTGAGAAGTTATTGGGAGTGTGTAATACAGTGACACTGGTATAGCTCCCGTATTGTACTGTGAATAAGTGAAGACCATTGAAGATAGAGTGAACAGATTATTGTGTAGGGTGTATAAATTGTGTAAACATGCAACTGTGTTATAAGTATTTGTAGTTATGACGTGTAGGTTGTTAAATAAACCAATTAACAATTTGAACGGTGTCTGTAGAGACAAAACACGTTACAATATATATATATATATATATATATATCTGTGGCCAATCACGTTGGCCGCACTGTCTAAGGCATGAACTGTCTGAGTTCGCTCAGATGCTGGAATCGTGGGTGCGAATCGCACTCAAGGCCTGGATATCTATGTTCATTTTTTCTATTTGTGTTGTTCTGTGTTTAGGTAGCAGCCTTTCGGCGAGCATGCAGACTGTGTAAAAGATGCAAACTGAAAAAGTGGCTAAGTTCCGAAGGGCTGTAGAGCCATAGAGAGAGAGAGAGAGAGAGAGAGAAATATTGGCATGTGTATTAGTGTCTTTAAGACAGGGTTCGGATTGGTAATCGGATATACTGACCACTTACCTGTCATAATTACAATTAGTTATAAGGTTCTAAGGATTGCTGTGATGATAACACATAAAGGTCTTCAGTGTCTGCTTACACTAGTCATTGCTAGGTAACAGCTGTCAACATTGGCTATGCCTTCACAGTGTCTTCACTATCCGTTTCCTGACAGTGGATTTTAACAAAAGAAGTATATCAGTCACACTCCAGATATCACTGTACTACAGCACACACCAGTCTTCAGTTCACATATTAAGTCTTCGCATGTCGATTCCTTGTACTTTTCTGTACTCAAGTTTACCGCTTGCTTGCTTCTACCACCTACTACTCCCGCTTAGGAATTCAGTTCACTTATATAGATNTGATAAGGTGGAGACACCAACGAGGGGGCTAGGAGCTATAATGAAATAAAATATATTGCGTGAGAAAGTACATCTTATTAATGAAAGGATAAATTATAGCTCTTTCCTGTCATGCTCAGGAAAAACCCAATTTGCTCTTGGTAGGTTATGGGGATAACAAAGTGTGATCTTCCATTCTTAGGACATGGGGAGAGGGCATACAGGAATGGAAGAATGGGGATGAGGGAACTGTTTTAATGTGAATGAGAGAAGAGAGGAATGATGATAGGATGAGCAAGTGTAATGGATGGGAAAGCAGTAAGGGAAAAAAGAGATAAAGATGTGAAAGGTTGGAAGAAAGAAGGAAGCTATTTTTCCCCTTAACTTGACAGGTCACACATTAGTAGTAAGACAGAAGGAAACTGTGAACACCATGGCATACTGCTGGCCAGATTTTGCACAGGCCGTACAAATAGATATGCAACTGTGATGAGGATTTTGCTGTCATGGTTCTTTGGAAATGCTAAAAAGTGTCAAATTGCATGAATATTTAGCAGTGCTATCTTTTTCAGTTTCCAGATGCTCCTCGACCTTACGTAAATCAAGACCAAAGGAGATGCATTGGAAGCATAAGGGAGCAACTAAAGTTATCATGGCTGACTTCTCTAATAGGGTGTGTTCTGTTTGCAGCTGGAATGAGGCTGCTTTTCTGGAATGAGGTCAGAATTCTGTTAATGTAAATTTGTCATATAAAACTTCACAGAGTGAGGATATTAACATTAAGAGAATGGGAATAATTTTCATATGTTGACTGATGTTTAGGGACAGGTGGTGCAAACTGCCCGCTTACTGGAGGAAGCACTGAATACTATTATTCCGGTTCAGTATACATCTGTTGTGATGGCAGAAAACAATGGGAAATTGGTGCATTTTAGTGGAGCTTTACATGTGGGAGAGCTGCTTACAGAGCCGGAATATGGAGTGGCTGTTCCTGCAGCGAAGTTGAAACGCCGTGTCCAGATGTATCAGTGGGTAGAAGAGGAGCAAAACAGGTAAATACAGCAGCAGGTGTATGTACAGAGAGTCATACTATGCAGCATAAGTGATAAACATTTATTATTTGAATGCCTGAAGTCAAAATTGTAGGCACTAGTCCAAAGGACAGTGTAGCAGCTTTGTTGTCAGTCCCCAGAGCTAGTGTAAGGACTTTGTAATATTTACTTGTTCATTTGTTTGAAAATAAACAAGTTACCAGGCTGCAGTGTAAAGTTAAATGATTAATTTGGTGTGAATTATAGGATGTTAGGTTTAATGCAATGGAAGCATGGAAAGAGCAATTTTTTGATATCTGAACAACAGTACATAAGCACACCTTTTTGATACCGTACTGTGTTCAGGACCCTAGTTCAGGACTGTCAGGAAGTACCAGTGATGGTCATGAATGTTACCCACAGGGACCAAAAGCTCAGGAGAGGATCTCTTCTGGCGCACTGTGAGACAGTAACACTTGTGACTTTGCCCAATATGGGGCAGGCACCAACACCAGGCCTAAAACCCGAAATGGACGGAGAGACGATGGCCTGCCAAGAGATGGCAGCATGTCCAGAAGAAGAAGAGCCGACCTCACTGGACAGGAAACCTGAGGCAGCAGAACAACAAGAGGTCCCCGTAGAAGATGCCACAGTGATGCCAGTCAGAGAACCGAAGAAGAAACGGTGTAGGGACTGAAAACTGGCCGTAGAGCGTCACCGCCAGCTGAATGAATGGACCTAGTGTCAGGATTGGTTCCAAAGAAAAGGACTGACCATCGCCAGAAGAGGGACGAGCCACCATGCAACAGTAGCACAGCAAAAGCAGAAGAGAAGCAACACAAGGATGTCCTGTTGTGCAACAGTGGCAAGACGCAAGAGAGAGAGAGCGTGAAGAAGAACCTTACTCAGGGAACTGGTGGACCCGGGAGGAAGCGATTGGTCGCGGCTGACAAGAATATTACCCACTGTGCAAATGTGACACAGCGCAAGAGACTTAGACTTCAGGGAGATCAGATGGAATCACACACAAACCCACATAAGAATGTGCCAAGAACTTGAACGTGAGAGGATTACACAAGGACTCGTCGTGAAAGGAAAAGAAGTAGAACGACTCGAGATTGAGAGAGACACACAATAACGAGTTTGAGAAAGCAATTCGAGGCATGTGCAAGTGCACAAGCAGACGTGCTGCACAGAATCCCAGCTGATACGAACATCAAAAACTGGACACTTTGGAGGGGTTGACCTCCTCTGAAACGGAAAAGGACACAACAGATTGAAGAGGAGCCAGTAACATAGAAACACCGGCCTCCCCGGCATGAATGGAGAATGAAAGATAATGAGTACATGAGGTGTGAATGCGAAACAATGGATCGAAGAACGCTGGACCATGGAACCGCTCGAGACGAGCTGGTCTTAAGAACGGAGTGGAGGCTGTAACGGCTGGAGAATAGTCACTGCAAGAGGAGTAGCCGAAACAACAGGAGACACAGCAAGCATAGCAACGGGAAGAAAAAGAACGGGGATGCACCATTAGGCTATTCGGGATGAACAGCCTTAAGGAGGGAGCAGTGTGATGTATTTGCACTATGCAGGACACCCCCTCCCCCGCCAGCGGTGACCTAACAGCGCTGCCTTTGCTACGGCAACAGGCCAGTCAATTCTACGCCCCCCTCCCCTGTGGTGACATAACAGCACTTCCCAATGTGATGTAACATGGACCACCGCTGTAACATGAGGCAACGGAATGGTATAAAAAGCCGGCTGAGCAGTATGTGAAGAGAGTGTGTGTGATCAGAAGTGACACAGTGTGGATCGTGAAGTCGCTGAGTGCAGCAGAAGTCTTATCAGTCGCCGAGTTCAGTTGTAGCAAGTGAATCGTGAACATGAAGAATACCGATAGTGTGAGAAGTTATTGGGAGTGTGTAATACAGTGACACTGGTATAGCTCCCGTATTGTACTGTGAATAAGTGAAGACCATTGAAGATAGAGTGAACAGATTATTGTGTAGGGTGTATAAATTGTGTAAACATGCAACTGTGTTATAAGTATTTGTAGTTATGACGTGTAGGTTGTTAAATAAACCAATTAACAATTTGAACGGTGTCTGTAGAGACAAAACACGTTACAATATATATATATATATATATATATATCTGTGGCCAATCACGTTGGCCGCACTGTCTAAGGCATGAACTGTCTGAGTTCGCTCAGATGCTGGAATCGTGGGTGCGAATCGCACTCAAGGCCTGGATATCTATGTTCATTTTTTCTATTTGTGTTGTTCTGTGTTTAGGTAGCAGCCTTTCGGCGAGCATGCAGACTGTGTAAAAGATGCAAACTGAAAAAGTGGCTAAGTTCCGAAGGGCTGTAGAGCCATAGAGAGAGAGAGAGAGAGAGAGAGAAATATTGGCATGTGTATTAGTGTCTTTAAGACAGGGTTCGGATTGGTAATCGGATATACTGACCACTTACCTGTCATAATTACAATTAGTTATAAGGTTCTAAGGATTGCTGTGATGATAACACATAAAGGTCTTCAGTGTCTGCTTACACTAGTCATTGCTAGGTAACAGCTGTCAACATTGGCTATGCCTTCACAGTGTCTTCACTATCCGTTTCCTGACAGTGGATTTTAACAAAAGAAGTATATCAGTCACACTCCAGATATCACTGTACTACAGCACACACCAGTCTTCAGTTCACATATTAAGTCTTCGCATGTCGATTCCTTGTACTTTTCTGTACTCAAGTTTACCGCTTGCTTGCTTCTACCACCTACTACTCCCGCTTAGGAATTCAGTTCACTTATATAGATGCAGCACAGACACGCGTCACAGGAAAGTCATGTCAAATGTTCCCTATCCAGCCCTTTGGCGTGCTGGCTAGACCTACAGAAAATGTTACATGTTTGTTATCTAGCCATTCCATTGGCGTGCTGGCTAGACCTACAGAAAGCATGTCACGTGACTGTACCAACTATTGTGTGACATCATTGCAGACACAAAGAAGACACTGCTCCATTATTGTTTGCTATGTGTGTTTGTTTTGCAAGTGTTGCCTACCAATGGATTTACATATAACAATATATGAGGGTTAGAACTTTAATAGTGGCAACTATTTATTTACAACTGATACAAAATAGATACATGTTTTGAAGTTTTACTGTCCTTCAGTGTAGTCACCAGCATTGCGTACAACCCGTTGCCAGCGATGTGGAAGTTGTAGGATACCTTTAGCAGTGCCTGTTGTGTTCAAAGTTCGAATGGAGCGGTCTACTCCCTGAAGAATCTCTGGAACAGTTCTGAAGCGAATACCACGAAGTGGTTCCTTCATCTTAGGAATCAAGTCAAATTCACAAGGGCTTAAGTCCGGGGAGTATGGTGGATGGTACAGCACTTCCCAGCCCCATTGATCGAACAAATCAGCCACAGCTTGCGCTGCATGCAGCCGAGCACTGTTCTGCAAAATGATGGGTGGGTTCTGCAGAAAGTGTCGCCGCTTCTTTCTCAAAGCTGGTCGTAGGTTGTGTTCCAAAAATGAACAGTAATACTGTGCATTGACGGTCTGCTGTCAGGGAACGGCATGCATTAGGATAACACCATCACAGTCATACATGAGAATCACCATAACTTTCACATTGCTGGTGTTCTGACGAACTTTTGATTTTCATGGTGACCCATAACGATGCCGTTTGTTCGATTGGCGTTTCATTTGTGGCTTGTACGATTTGGTCCATGTCTCATCCAGCGTAATGATATGGCGTAAGAGAGCCTCTCCTTTGTGCTCATAGCCCTCCAAGTGGTTACGAGCAGTGTCGTATCGTAGCCTCTTCTGCATTTCCGTCATATCATGTGGAACCAATCGTGATGCAATTTTTCTCATGTCCAAGCGTTCCTTCAGAATGTGAAGCGCAGTCGTATGTGCTAATCCTGTCTCTCAGGCCAGCTTATGAATCATATGGCGTCGATCACTCTCCAGTAACGTGGAAAGAGCATACACTTCTTCACTGACACTAGGACGACCTGGCCGACGCATGTCTGCCACATTTTGGCATCCCTTGTTGAATGCTTCTACCCACCTTGCTACCGTTCTGTAAGGCAATGCAGATTCCCCGCAAACCTCTTGAAGACCTTGATGATACTATCATGCTGTACGGCCTCTGGCACATTCAATCTTTATCCAACTCTGTTGTTCCTGTTTTGAAAACATTGTGACAACACTACATTAGACCGCCAGCTAACACGAGGCTCTGTTCTTCTCATCACTGTGAATGTGCATGATGTGGGAAGGGAGAGTCCATTTGCTCTGAGATAAGGTAGGTATGTAACTAATGTTGAGTATAAGCAATATTATTTGGTTCTGTTGCATGGTGTCTCTACAGCAGTGTTGCCACTATTATAGTTCCAACCCTCATATATATCTGTTTACTGTGTATTTCCATGTAACAGTCTTAACCTTTAAATGTTGAAACAAAACATACATGTATTTGTTTAAAGTGGGCCTAAAACATTGGTTATCGAAGTGTGGTCCGTTGACCCCTAGGGGTGTGTGAGATTATTTTTATCTTCACATTATAATGGAGCCTGAAGCTCATTTATGTACCATATAGAAATTAAGTATCTACCCCCAGAAAATGCACTTGTCTTTATTACAAAGACAGACCAGTTAATGCTGTTTAGGGAAATAATTGCTGCTTATTATGAAACACATAATAGCAATGTGTGGCAAAATGTGTTTTTTTAGAATGTGCCTGTAGTAACCACTGTTCTGTAATGGGTTAACACTTAGAAAATGTGCATTATCTTGCAGTGAGCTGATGCCAGGGGACCATGAATATGTTGAAACTAGTTACTCATACACGATGGAGTGGAGGGACAAGCTGATTGACAGCTCCTTATTCTACAGTACCTCGGGCCATCACAATCCAAAGTGAGCAGTTGAACATTAAAAGTGTAAGAATCAGTCTTGGTTATAGCATGGGCTGGAAGTGAAGCAGGTTGCATGCATTGGTTTATTTTGTGTTTATGCCACTTAGTATTACGAGAATCATTATTCAGGGGATATAATTGGTTACACATGGGGGAAAGAAATCCTTTCTGAATTGTAATAATGATGTACTATTGTCACTCATGTTGCAGATAACACCACAACTATCTAGGGGCAGGCATATTCAACTGTTTTTCCTGTAGTCACTCTGTGCTCTAAGCTTGCTTGGCTGGAAAAATCTGTGAGCAGGAGTGACAGAGATAGCAGTACTTAAGATAGAGAAATTAACCCTTTTTTGGTTGTATGTTGATATATAATTAACAGTGACAGTGCTTCCATGGATGACTGTTGATATTGTGACATGTTGACCCCTACCTCCCCAGCTGCACATAGCGGTAACGTAGCGCTCGCATAATAGGCGAGTAATCACCCCGCATCCTGGTAGCTATGCAACGCGCGGTGACGTCGCGAGCGGAGACGAAGATAGGCGAGCCCCCGCAACCTGGTAACTATGCAATGCGAGTCAACAGCGGTGACGTAACAGGATGACGTGGCACTCATTACGCAACAAGCAAGCACTGCAGCTATATAAGTGAGCTGCACAGCGGCTGCGAGTCAGTTATAAAGTAACAGTCGCCGAGTCGAGTCGTAGAGTCAGCCAGTCAGTGCGTTACCAACGAGGTCTCAGTTCGCAAGTTACGAGCTACAGACGCGTGTGCGATACCCAGTGCTGTAGTACAGTTATACTCGGAGTGTGTATTTCAGGGAGACTTGTATAGCTCCCGCGTTATTAGTACGTGAAGACAAGTGAAGATTGTGTTAAGAGATTTTGTTGTAGGGTTTGTAAAGTGTGGAAACCCGTAATATTGTGATAAATAATTGTAGCCGTTATTTGAAGATTGTTAAATAAACCAATTAACCATCTCTACGGCGTCTTCAGTAACGTCAACACGTTACAATATATATGATTGACAAAGTTGCTTTCCCTTCTCTCCGGGCATATGTCGATTATATAAAGTCTGACAAAATTTCCGAACTCTCCACTATGTGCTTGCCATGGCAGCAGTGGACAGAAACCGCAATATGGTTTGATGATGTTGGCATATCAGCATTTCACAGCTGTGTTGTTGTTGATCTATAGCAGTCTTTTCTGAGTGGCATCTATTGTCTGAGTGTGTTTTGGTGTGCTGTCATGAGAATGTCTGAGCTTGAATTAGAGCAACGAATGAACACCATTTCTTGCTAAACTTGGCAAGAGTGGAAGCGAAATCAAAGAGATGTTAGTGCAAGTTTATGCGGATAATTCTGTGAAGAAAACAGCAGTTTACAGGTGGGTCACACGTTTTTCTGAGGGAAGAGAAAGTGACACTAGCTAAGAGAGTTCAGGATGGCCACCAATGAGCAGAACTGAAGAAAACATTACAAGAGTTTGTGAAATTATGCATAAAAATCATTGACTGACTGTTAGGAGCATAGCAGAGCAAGTGAATATTGACAGAAAAACAGTTAGGAAAATCTTAAGGCAAGCTCTTGACATGAGGAAGGTTTGTCCAAAAATGGTCCCAAAGGAGCTCACCAAAGAACACTGTCTATGAGAGAGTTCTTAGCTAGTAAACAAATAACTATGCTGGCACACCTTCCCTATTCACCAGATTTAGCTCCTAGTGACTTTTTTCTGTTTTTGAAGCTAAAAGAAATACTGAAATGAAGACATTTTGATGACATCAGGAGTAATCTGACGGCAGCTCTGAAGGCCATTCCACAAAACCAGTTCCAAAATTGTTTTGAAGGGTGGACTAGGTGCTGGCATTGGTGCATAGCTTCCCAAGGGGAATACTTTGAAAGAAACCACAGTGATATTCAGTAATGAGGTATGTATGATGTAGCACTTTTTCCACGATGAGTTTGCAGACTTTATTGTCAGACCACATACAGGGTGATTCAGAAAGATGGACACAATTTCAGTTGGCTATATTTCCTGAATTATATGTTGCATTTGAAGTCTGTAAATCACATCTGATTATACATACATGGAAATTTATAGATGTTCAATGTGCCCCCCTTCCTCCGGCTGCACGGATAAAATCTAGACGGTAGCTGAATTCATCCTACACTCGATGACAAATATCTTGCGTCACTTAGTTCACCGCAGCTGTGATAGAGTTTCTTAGGTCATTCAAATTTGTGGGAAGAGGTGGTACACGCCACACAGTTGTTTGCGATAGTCCAAGTTCTCTACTAGCACTACGGGTTGACTTCATTGGGCTGCGCTCAGAGTTCACTCGAATGCACTCCAGGTCCTCCTCCGATACACGCGATCGGCCCGGGCTTTTACCCTTACACAGAGAGCCAGTTTAATCAAATTGTTTATTCCAATGATAAATGCTCTTCCTTGTTGGAGGTTGGATGTTAAACTTACGACGAAATGCACGCTGCACTGCAGTCGCAGACTCACTTTTACTGAACTCACGAATGCAAAAAATCTTGTGTTGCATAGTAGGCATCTCACTTACAACTGACGCAGTGATGGAGGGCACTAGCGGTAGTACTAGAAACTTTACAACATCCTCTTTCAAATGTACTTTACAGAATTCAAATGCAACATACAGTTCAGGAAATATAGCCAATTGAAATTGTGTCCATCTTTCTGAATCACGCTGTATGTTGCTACTGGCTGCTGTATACCATGCCAACGCATTCATGAATGTTTTTTCTGCCTTCTGCCATCTTGAAGTCATAATTTGAACTTCTTGAGGAACAAATGCCATTTATATATTACAGTGTGTCATGTGTTAGCAGCGTGGCTGGTCTGGTATCAAAAAATGGAAATATAACTGCCTGTGTGTTGCCAGTGAAGAATATATAAGTGATTTCTTGAATGAAGAACGTGATATTGACTCTGATGATGGAATGGATTTGGAAATTGAAGGAGAAACTGCAAGTGAAGAGTCAAGCAATGAGATGTAGGAAAGTGAGAGCAAGAGTGAAACAAGTGTTGTGCATGTTGATGGGTGGGAAGACGTGACAGGCATACACATTTAGCACAATTTAACCTTCTGCCAGATGCAGAGCCCATTAATTATTTAGCTTATTTTTCATTGACAAGCTTTTGAATAACAAACAGATACATGAGACACAAAATTGTGGAACTTCTGCTAAGCCCGAGGTCCATATGGAGTAGGTGGTCTGATGTGTCTGTTCATGAAATGAAGGTGTTCTTAGGTATAATTATAAATAATGGACAAATCCCATTACCCAACATAAAAGACTAATGGTCTAATGACTGGACAACACAGATAAAATTTTTTGGTGACATAATGTCTAGAGATCGTTTTTTACAGATATTTTAGATGATTCATGTGGGAAATGATACCACTGCAGAAAGCAGTTGGGCCATCAGAAGGTTTAGGAAAGTCCGAGGGATAAAAACATTGGAAAAGATGAATCAGCAGTTGGGTTCAAGGGCAAAATAATATTGAAAATAATATAATTAATATAATTAATAATTATATAATTAATAATATAATTAATATAATATAATTAATATAATAAAATATAATTAATAATATAATTAATAATAATATAATAAAATAATAATATTGAAAAAATCCAACCAGTGGGGCATCAGATTATTTGTATTAGTAGACAGTGACACTGGTTATGTTCACAGTATGATTGCATATTATGGAAAACTTACAGGTGATGTGTGTAACTTGCCATACTCAGGAAAACCATTCACTTCAAGAATAGTTCTTTTCTTGATGGACAGACTAGAACTCAGTGTGTCTGGTGTTGAAGGCTACCACCTTTATTTACACTGACAGATATTATAGTAGCGTTCAGTTGGCCCAAAAATTAGACAATTGCTGGTAGAGTTTGCAATCCAAAACCACTGGGAAGGGGCCCATCAAGAAAATGAAGGGTGGGGACACTTGCCTACAGAAGTGAGAATGTCCTGCAAATGGGCTGGAAAGACAAGAAGGTAGTTCTCATGTCTACACATCATGACACATCAATGAAAAAAATTGTGACCGTTCAGAAATGGGGGCAGCATAAAGAAATTCAAAAGCCAATCTATGTAATTCACTATACAAAACGTGTGGGTGGTGTAGATTGCAGTGATCATTACTGAGCGGCATATGCTTTCATTTGTAAATCTCTGAAGCGGTGGAGAAAACTTTTTCTGGTGCCTGTAACTGTGCATTGTAAATCCATACATTTTGTACAGCAGCCATAAGGCCCACATGGGAGTGAAACAAATGCCACACATCAAGAATTGATGGGCTCTTGTTGAAAATTTAGTAGGCGATGTGCACAACCTATGAAAGTGGTCACATCTGGGGACAGCAGAGAGACTAAATACAGCCCCTCACTTCCTCTACCACTGTGACATGAAGAAATGCAAAGACTGCATTGTGTGCAGCAATTGGAAGGTCATGGGAGCCAGAAAAGAAACATACTTCTATTGTAAGACTTATAGAAATCAACCAGCATGTGTCCTGGGGAATGTTTCAAAAGATATCACACTCTCAAAGAACTTCAGAGGTTTTAGTGTAGGTCCTACAGTTTATCGAGCTATTGTTTTTTGTGTACATAGGAAAGTGAGGGTTATAAGAGGAAAAGAATATGTGTATATTTTATACTAGAGAACAGCAGACAATTTGGTCTGGTTAAACACTACACCCTCTCTCCACACTTTATGTCACACCACTACATGGCAGATAATTTGTCTTCTTGCATTCTGGTGGTATGTACACATTTTGTCTTTTCACCTTATGCCCCTGTTGCACCAACGTTTCGAGCAAAATGGTTCACTTAGTGGCTCTGCAGGCGTTTAAAACACCTTCATGTCCTGGCTGCAGAAATTTCTAATAATTCAACAACTGGAAAGGGTTAAGGCAGAGCATATGGGGAGTGGTGAATTACAGGTAATGCATGGCACCACATTCTCAGTCATTAAGGAGAGATTGTGAATGTGCATACAATTCTCGTTGTCTTCTTCAGGACAAATAATGTCTTTGTGCTTATACATAAACCTAGTTCCAGTTCCCGAAGTGTTTGTTAAGACTAATCAGAAAATAACTATGTATTTAACCCCACAGCTTTTCTTTTCATGCATGAGTGGAAATACTGTATTTTTTTAGTACACATACATCTAATTAATTAGCCAGGTTAACAGCTATGTCTCTCAACAGTATAAATTAATTTACAAAATTACTTCTGCTGCATTTCTGTTAATTGGTATGGTGTGAAATATAGTGTGACTGGACATTGTACTTTTCACTTATTCATTTCATTAAGTACTTTCAGATAAATTAAACCATTCATTAATCAATTGCATTGGATATAAAAGTATACGTCATATGACATTAAAGTTCGCGACCTCATTAAGGTGACCGCGCTAATACCCTATTACTGAACATCACTGTTGTTTCCTTCAAAGTACACCCCTTTGGAAGCTATACACTGATGCCAGTGCCTAGTCCACCCTTCAAAACAATCTTGGAACTGGTTTTGTGGAATGGCCTTCAGATATGCTGTAGTATTACTCCTGATGTCATCAGTGTCATCAAAATTCCCTCCTTTCAATATTTCCTTTATCTTCTGGAACAGGAACTGGGGGCTAGATCTGGTGAAAAGGGAGGATGTTCCAGCACAGTTATTTGTTTCCTAGCTAAAACTCCCTCACAGACAGTGTTCTTCAGAGAGCTCCTTTGGGACCATTTTTGCACACACCTTCCTCATGTTAATAACTTCAGTTAAGATTTTCCTATTTCTCTGTCAATGTTTGTTTGCTCTGCTATGCTTCTGACAGCCGATGATTTTCTCGCATAATTTCACGAACTTTTGAAATGTATTCTTCAGTTGTGTTCATTGCTGGCTGTCCTGATCTCTCTTCATCAGTGATACTTTCTCTTTCCTCAGGAAAACGTGTCACCCACTTCACCTTCAGATTTTGTTTTTCACTGATCATCACAGTGTACTCTGTAGTTTCCTGCCTTGGCCTCCACTTCCACCTGCAGGTGTAGTGGCCAGGAGGAGGGAATCCAAGGAGAACTTCCATTGCAAGCTGTTGGAGCTGTTCTCATTGCTTCTGTAATTCCCAAGCAGGCCGTCCTTTACAGTTTGCTTAGCTCTGCCTAGAACATGTGCGATCATGTCAAAACANGCACAGGTAACCATAGGCCTTATCACTGCAGTGTATATACAGTATACCACCTTTGCTTTCAGTCCCCAAGTTTTCCCAAATGTGCATCTGCATGTTCAGAAGGCTCTATAGGCCTTGTTAATAACCTTATCCACCTGCATTTCCCATGTCAGTCCCGTGTCTAATATTATTCCAAGGTATTTGACATCACTGGATAGCTGGATTGTTTTACTAAAGAGGGTTGGCTTCTTGAGCCCTTTACATTCGTCATCCTCGTAAAGGGTATAACTACAGTCTTATTTGGCTTGACAGACAACTTCATTCTTTCACAGCACTGTTGCGCTGTGCACAGGGTTGTTTGTAAGACCTCTGACACAGTGTGAGGGAATTTCCCATTGATTAGGATTGCTATATCATCAGCATATCCTACTGTGTAATGGCTACTGTCATTGAGCTCCCAAAGAAAATTGTCCATGACCAGGCCCACAGCAGAGATGAAAGCACACCTCCCAGCAACCCCCCCCCCCCCCCCCCGCCCCNCCAGGGTCTCTCCTGACAATATAGCAATTATGATCCAGCTTTTTGGCATGAATAGACTACCATAGATCAACAACAACACAGCTGCTAAATGCTGATATGCCAGTGTTCATCAAACCTTACTGAGGTTTCTGTCCACTGCAGCCATGGCAAGCACACGGCAAGTTCGCAAACTTTATTGTCAGACCTCATACCCGTAGGAGCTGGTGACCTTTGTCTTGATCTGTTCTCTGTACCTGCTATTTAGCCTATTAAATGCAAGATCAGAAAGTTGACCGGGGATACAGTGTCTGTTTTGACTGCAGTTAGACAAGTACATTCTAAAGGGTCATGTTGATGGTGTATAACACTCAGAATTACCAGGTTTTCAGACTTTATCCATTGTCCAGTATTCTAAAACTAGAAAGAACAACGTTTTGGAAAGTGGATCTGTTTCTATCTTCAAGTGAGGGGGGGGTTGGGGGGTGGACTCCTACACTGTTGGGTGTCTTAGAAAGAGCTAACCTTAGTCACTGGTACAGATGGTCCAGACATGGAATTAGCCAGCGCCATGGGTTGGCCGCTAGACACAGACAAGGTAGAAGGGTAAGAGTGAAGGATAAGAGATAAACACTACAGATGAATTTGCAACAGGCTTTTATCAGCATAATGGACTCTCTGATTGCACTCAGAATTACTGCATTGTTGGATCTGTGTATACCCTCAGGTGAAAGGGAGGTACCTCTCTTGGGTGTCTTAGAAAGAGCTAACCTCAATCACTGGTTCAGTAGGTGTGTCACCCCTTGGCTGAGGACAGAAACAGATCCAGTTTCCAATACGTTATGTTTCTAGGTTTGTAATACTGGACGATTGACAAAGTCCAAAAACCCAGTATGAATGTATAAGGGGTGGGCCTTCTCGGCCCTTGCACCGTGACCTACAAAAAAAAAACCAGTAAGTCTGAGTGCTATTAGACAGTCCATTGTGCTGATGAAATCTACAGAGCATGTGGCAAGTTCATCTGCAGTGTTTATTTCCTATCCCTTCTTACCATTCTGCCTTCTGTATGCCTAGCTACCAACCCATGGACACTGGTTAATTTGGTGTCTGCATTTAGTAACAGTAAGTAACAAAAATTGTATCTCTTGAACTGAAACTCCTAGAGAGTTAAATTCATCACAAGTGTTTAGTGCCAGTAACAGTTCTTGGAGTTAAGGAACACTACACAGGTTTAAAAAATTCTGGTTTCATTTTGCATCATTTTTTACACACACTGCTTTTGATTTTTCTCTTTGTGCTGGAGATGGGTTTAAGTTTGTGTTTTTTAATGTTTCCAATGAGTGTGGATGGGGGACAACTGATACCCTCTTTATTTTAACCTGGGATTTCATGGCGTTTATCTTACATTCACATCTGCTTTTTGCTATGATACCAGAAATTTCTTTTATGTGCTGTCCTTTGTTAATTTTGGTATATGAGTGTTCACTAGATTGTCTGCTCTTGGGTTTGCTGCATTGCATTTAGATATGCCAGAACTATGTTTCTGGCATTTATTTTGTGTAATTCCAGAAGAAATGATGGAGAGATTTGTGGTCTCATCCTTGCTTAGATATTTCCTTTAAAGTCAAGAAACCTTTTTATTCACAGAGAATTTCCCCTGAAGAGCATAGTGTATGTGAATGAGCATGTGATTGTTGGAAGCTGTGTGTTTGGTGCAGCGCTCAAAGAGAAGTTCTCTGACTATGTGCTGGTGACAAGTGATGAACGGCCAGAGAGGAGGGACATCAAGTTACATGCAGGCTTGTATTATCACAGTCAAGATGTGTGGAATCCAGAAGTCGGTGACATCAGAGTTCAGTTCTCATACGCAGGGAAGGCTGGTGAAGTGGTAAGTAATTAAGTACAGTATGGAGTGATCTGTGTTTTTATAATTTTCTTTTCACCAGAATATCCAGTGCATAAGCTCCATCAGACTTAGAAAATCAGGTTGTTAGAGAGAAATGAGTAAAAATGGGTAACATACTTTCCAAATTACACATATTAAACAGTAAAAAAGGTAAAGTTAACCTTGTGCTTAATTAATTAAACACCACATCAGGAAAATATATGAGGGAGTGGAGATATAGCTCCAGCCATCTTGACCTCAGCTCTAGATGGTAGTGAATGATTAGCTTCATGTCTCAGCTGCTTTACCTTTGGCGAAGGAGCCTGTGGTACCTGTTAGATAGGAGGCTGGGTGGGCCTCAGAGCTTGTTTCGATGTTGTGGAGAAGAGAGAAGTCTTGCCCCTGCTGGGAAGTGAATCCTGGTCATAT